TGCCCCAAATCCCACCTGGGGGTCATTTTGTGCCCCTGGGGATCATTTGTGCCCCAAACCCACCCTGGGGGGGTCATTTGTGCCCCTAGGGGTCATTTGTGCCCCAAACCCACCCTGGGGGGGTCATTTGTGCCCCTGGGGGAGTCATTTGTGCCTCTGGGGGAGTCATTTGTGCCCCAAACCCACCCTGGGGGGGTCATTTGTGCCCCAAACCCACCCTGGGGGGTCATTTGTGCCCCAAACCCACCCTGGAGGTCATTTGTGCCCAAACCCACCCTGGGGGTCATTTTGTGCACGCCCTGGGGGTCATTTGTGCCCCCGGCCCCTTTGGGTGCCCCGGCAGGGTTGGGGGTCCGGGCACCCTACACAGCCGGGGGGGTCTCTGTTTGCAGCCATTGCACACCAAGACCCCACTGGGGGGGGGTCCTGGTCGGCTTAATTGGCTGCAGGGGGGTCCCCAAAACCCAGGGGGGGACCCCAAAACCCGGGGGAGACCCCAAATCCTAAGGGGGACCCCAAAACCCAAGGGGAAAAACTTCAGGGGTTGCACCAAAACCCCATGGAAAAGGGACCCCAAAATTTAGGGAGGACCCCCCCCAGATCCTGAGGGACACCCCCAACACCTGGGGGAGACCCTAAAACCCCAGAAGGGGACCCCAAAAACCCCAGGGGGAGATCCCAAATCCCAGGGGGAGATCCCAAATCCCAGGGGGACACCCCAAAACCTGTTGGCGTGGATGCCGTGGGAAGGGGGTGCTGGGACTTCCCTTGGGATTCCAACCCTATTCCTGGAATTTTAGTCCCTCCCTCGGGGATTTTTGGGATCCCCCTTCAGGTTTTCACAGCACCCCCCTATGACTCAGGGACCCCCCCTCCCCAAGGATTTTTGGGGCCCCCCAAATTTGTCACCCCCAACCCCAGCAGAGCATCCCATTGAAAAGGGAGGGGTTCAGAGCCTCCCCTAGGAATTCCAGTCTCACTCCTGGCATTCCAACCCAACTCCCCAGGGATTTTGGGAGCCCCCCAGGGTGCCAGAACCCCCCCCAGGGTGTCAGAACCCCCCAAAGGTGTCAGACCCCCCCAATTTGTCACCCCCAACCCCAGCAGAGCATCCTATTAACAGGGACACCATGAAAAGAGTTTGGAACCTTCCCTTGGAACTCCAACCCCATTCCTGGGATTTTTGGCCTCCCAGAATTTTGGGAGCCCCCCAGGCTGCCAGAACCTCCCCAGAGTGTCAGACCCCCCAATTTGTCACCCCCAACCCCAGCAGAGCATCCCATTGACGGGGATGCCACTGAAAGACCGCTGTGGTTTCCTCTGGGATCCCACCCTGTTCCTGACATTCCAACCCCAATCCAGAGGTTCCAATCCCATTCCCAAGGTCCCAACCCACCCCCCCAGAGATTTCTGGGCCCCCACCTGTCTGCCCCAGCGCAGGAGAGCATCTTGTTGATGCGGATGACGTGGAAGGGGTGTAGAACCTTCCTCTGGGATCCCACCCCGTTCCCGACATTCCAACCCCATTCCTGAGGCTCCAACCCCATTCCCAAGGCTCCAACACCATTCCTGAGGTTCCAACCCCCCCCTCTGAGGATTCCTGGGCCCCCCAAAGTCAGACCCCAAACCTGTCTGCCCCAGCACAGGAGAGCATCTTGTTGATGCGGATGACGTGGAAGGGGTGCAGAACCTTCCTCTGGGATCCCACCCCGTTCCCGACATTCCAATCACAATCCCAAGGTTCCAACCCCATTCCCAAGGCTCCAACCCCATTCCCGAGGTCCCAACCACCCCCCCAGGGATTTTTGGGCCCCCACCTGTCGGCCCCGGCGCAGGAGAGCATCTTGTTGATGCGGATGACGTGGAAGGGGTGCAGAACCTTCCTCTGGGATCCCACCCCGCTCCTGACATTCCAAACCCAATCCCGAGGTTCCAACCCCATTCCCAAGGCTCCAACACCATTCCTGAGGTTCCAACCCCATTCCCAGGGTCCCCAGCCACCCCTCCCAGAGATGTCAGGCCCCAACCTGTCTGCCCCAGCACAGGAGAGCATCTTGTTGATGCGGATGACGTGGAAGGGGTGCAGAACCTTCCTCTGGGATCCCACCCCGCTCCTGACATTCCAACCCCAATCCCGAGGTTCCAACCCCATTCCCACGGCTCTAACCCCATTCCCGAGGTCCCAACCCACCCCCAGAATTTTTGGAGCCCCCAGGCTGTCAAAACCCTCCCCAGAGTGTCAGACCCCCCAGTTTGTCACCCCCAACCCCAGCAGAGCATCCCATTGACAGGGATGCCACTGAAAGACCTCCGTGGTTTCCCCGGGGATTCTGCCCCGCTCCTGACATTCCAACCCCAATCCCGAGGCTCCAACCCCATTCCCGAGGTCCCAACCCATTTCCCATGGATTTTTGGGCCCCCACCTGTCAGCCCCAGCACAACAGAGCATCTTGTTGATGCGGATGACGTGGAAGGGGTTCAGAACCTTCCCTTGGAATCCCACCCCGTTCCCGAAATTCCAATCACAATCCCAAGGTTCCAACCCCATTCCCGAGGTCCCAACCCATTTCCCATGGATTTTTGGGCCCCCACCTGTCTGCCCCAGCGCAGGAGAGCATCTTGTTGATGCGGATGACGTGGAAGGGGTGCAGGCGCACGCGGATGTGGAAGCCGTCCTTGCCACAGCTCTTCACCATGTACTTGTTGGCACAGATCCTGGCGGCCTCCAGGGCTGGGGAAATGGGGAAAAAACGGGGGTCAGCACCCCAAAAATTCACCCAGGACTCTCAAAATCCACCCAGACGCCCCCAAAATTCACCCAGGACCCCCAAAATCCAGCCAAGATTTGAAAAGAGACCCCCGGAGTTGGGGGTGTCGAGGAGAGGAGCGGGTTGTGCTGGTGTGATAGTGAGGGCAGGGACCCCCTCAGTGAGCCCCCCACTCACAATAGAGACCCCAAAACCTCTCAGGGGGTCCCCCCCCACTCCAAGGGGCACCCCAAAATCCCAGGAGACCCCCCCAGGACCCCCCAGGACAGAAAGGACACCCCCAAATTTCGGGGTGTCAGGAGAAGAGCGGGTTGTGTTGGTGCGACACTTCAGGAAGGGACCCCCCTCTCAGTGACCCCCCCCCATCCATACAGGGGACCCCAAAACTCTGGGAAGCCCCTGAAGTGACCCCCCATCCTGAGGGGCACCCCAAAATCCCGGGAGACCCACCCAGACCCCCCAAGGACAGAAAAGCCACCCCCAAATTTCAGGGTGTCAGGAGAAGAGCGGGTTGTGCTGGTACGACACCACGGGCAGGGACCCCCTCAGTGACCCCCTCCTTGTTCATACAGGGGACCCCAAAACTCTGGGGAGCCCCTAAAGTGATCCCCCCACTGCGAGGGGCACCCCAAAATCCCAGGAGACCCCCCAGGACCCCCAAGGACAGAAGGGAGACCCCCAAAATCTGGGACCCCCTCAGAGCCAAGCCGGGTGTTGCTGGGGTGGCACCGCAGGCAGGGACCCCCTCAGCGACCCCCCCATCCATACAGGGGACCCCAAAACTCTGGGGAGCCCCTGAAGTGACCCCCCCCACTGCGAGGAGCACCCCAAAATCCTGGGAGACCCACCCAGACCCCCCAAGGACAGAAGGGACACCCCCAAAATCTGGGGACCCCTCGGAGCTGAGCTGCTCGTACTCGTCCCACACCACAGGCACGGACCCCCCTACAGCTCTGGGGACCCCAAAACTGCACAACGACCCCCCCCAAGCACAGAGGTGACCCCAAAACCCCCCCAAAACCCCCCTAAATCCACGGGGACCCCTTAAAAGCCCCAGGAACCCCCAAAAAGCCCCCTCTTACCCTCGGAGCTGAGCTGCTCGTACTCGTCCCACACCAGACAGGGACCCCCCTACAGCTCTGGGGACCCCCCAAACTGCACAACGACCCCCCCCAAGCACAGAGGGAACCCCAAAACCCCCCTAAATCTATGGGGACCCCCTAAAAGCCCCGGGGAGCCCCCAAAAAGCCCCCATAACCCTCAAAACCAAACTATTTGTTTTTGTCCCACAACAAAGTCAAAGACCCCCTACAGCTCTGGGGACCCCCCAAACTGTACAACGACCCCCACAAAACATAAAAAGGACCCCAAAATGACCCCAAAACGCCCCTAAATCCACGGGGACCCCAAAGCAGGCCCCCTACTCCTCGGAGCTGAGCTGCTCGTACTCATCCGACACCACAGACACAGAACCCCAACTGATGTGGGGACCCCCCAAACTGCACAACGACCCCCCCCAAGCACAGAAAGGACCCCAAGGACCCCAAACCCCTAAACCCAGGAGGACCCCCTAAAAGCTCCGGGGAGCCCCCAAAAAGCCCCCATAACCCTCAAAACTTAACTAGTTGTTTCTGTCCCACAACACAGGTAGGGACCCCCCCCTACAGCTCTGGGGACCCCCCAAACTGCACAACGACCCCCCCCAAGCACAGAGGGGACCCCAAAACTACGCTAAAACCCCCCTAAATCCACAAGGACCCCCTAAAAGCTCCGGGGAGCCCCCAAAAAGCCCCCATAACCCTCAAAACTAAACTATTTTTGTCCCACAACACAGGTACAGACCCCCCCTGCAGCTCTGGGGACCCCCCAAACTGCACAACGACCTCCCCCAAGCACAGAAAGGACCCCAAAACGCCCCTAAATCCACGGGGACCCCCCAAAAAGCCCCCCTTACCCTCGGAGCTGAGCTGCTCGTACTCATCCGACACCATGTGCCCGCACAGGGGGAACTCGTCCACCTTCGCCTTCTTCCTCCCCAGGTCGAAAATCCGGATTTTGGGGTCTGGGGAGCAATGGGAGGTCAGGAGAGGTTTTGGGGGTTTTAGGGGTTTGAGGTGGAAAACTCACCAGGGACCCCCGGCAGAAGCAGGACTTGGGGTAGGGTTTGTTCTTGCAGTACTGGTAACTGGGGGGAAAAGGGGGGTTTGGGGACCCCCAAAATTTGGGAGGCCTCTCAGGTCCCCCTTTTTCACCCCAGCCCCTGAGAGGCCCCAAAATGCACCCCGACCCAGAGCCCTTATAACCCCAAAATCCCTCCCTCAAACCCCCTTTTTAACCCAAAATTCTTCCCTCAAACCCCCTTTTTAACCCTAAAAATCCCTCCCTTAAAACCCTTTTTTAACCCCAAAATCCCTCTCCTCAGATCCCCTTTTTAACTGCAAAAATCCCTCCCTCAGTCTCCCTTTTTAAACCACAAATCCCTCCCTCAAACCCCCTTTTTAACCCCAAAAATCCCTTCTTAAAATCCTCTTTTTAACCCCAAAATCCTTCCCTCAAACCCC